ACCTCATGTAAAATTGTGTGTATGTACCCGGCCCGTGCTCAGCCATTAAACATGGCCTGTGACACTGACCTCTGGGGGATCTATATTACCAAACTGGAATTTCGGATGTTGAGTGAACAGCGCTGACTGCTCTTACATGTATGTGTTTTATAGATGCAGCAAATCTTTTGGCGTCTTAGCAGTGAAAATGCAACAAGTGATCAGTGACACTTACAGACATATACACCCCTCTACCCTCTGTGTGTCAGCAATTGTAACGTTCCCTTAAAAAATAACCACAGCCTGAGTAGAAAAGCTTGTCCCCTGCCAGAATGCTGCAGAGAGGGACCTTTTCTCTCTGTGGGTAAGGAGTGGTCAATGAAAGTTGACCTTAACGCTGAACTCTGGGCTTTTTGTAAAAAAAAATACCCTTGCAGTACCCCATCCCCAGCCTGCATAGTAAGGGTTAATGTCTCATTAGGTCTAGGGGTAGGAGGACAAGCTGTAATAGTTACACTATTCCTCGCTCCGGCAGGCTTTTGGCGCTCTTATCTCCAATGCTCCGAGTTGCCACCTGTCTGCCTGCCAACTTGTGTCTGCCGGGCTCTCTTCTCACCAATGCTCCGGGTTGTGGGCGAGCCCTCACCATTCCTCATGTACAATGCAGGACTGCGCCCAGGACCGGATTTACCCTCTTACTTTATTTTTTAATGTAATTATTATTACTTATTATTTTCTACTTTTATTTATGTAATTATTTTCCACCTAACTTTATTGCTATCACACAGGAGCTAACAAGTCACTGTGTGATAGCATTTGGAGGTGACAGGTTCTCTTTATTGACCCTGTCACCTCCAATACAGGAGTTCTAGCACAACGCTGTGCTGGAACTCCTGTGACAGGTGAGAGAGGAAGAGCACAGCACAACACAGCTCTCCCCTCTCACTGCGTACACGGAGCGGCAGGGTTACTTTTAAGCCTGCTGCTCTGCTCACCGCTCTCCATACTGAAGATGGCAGCGAGGACGGACCCAGGAGACGGGAGGACGCAGCATGGAGAGAGGTAAGTGCAGGGGAAGGAGGGGGGCGGCGGGGGGGCGGCCCGGCAGTCTAATCACAAGCGTTCTTGGCGACATCGCCGAGAACACTTGTAAAGAAACAAGTGATTTCTCCTATTCTACATTTAGTCCTGCTTGTGCAAAGCAGAGCTAAATATAGAAAGTAAATTACCGCCCGGCGCCCGGAACTCCATGTTCCGGTTGTCGGGTGATTCAAACCTGTGCCGCCACTCTGCTCAGTTCCGCCCCGAGGCCGGGCCTGGGTGGCCTTGCCGGGAATCCGGCCCTGACTGCGCCACTGTATGTGGCAACGTCAAAGTGCAATTGTAAGATGAAGAGAAGAATCTTCCAGGGACCTTATTCCTCTACCACTAGACTTGACAAAACTGTAACGCTTGAGGGTGGAGGAGGTGGGTGTTGGGGGGGGGTGGAGCTTTTTTATCCCGGAGTTCAGCTTTAAGCCATATTAGACGATTTGGGTGCATTTTGTGTTGTGTTTCTTCATTTATATTATTATGGAAAATATTCTGCAATAGGACAGAATGGCTTTCTACTTCCCAAGAAAAACTTCTTACAGAATGACCCCTCCCCAAGGTAATTAGGCAAAAGACATTATAGCTATAATACCTACCAGGTTCCCCGCTCAGTGTGGTGGAAATGTGAGGTGGGAGGAAATATGAAAAGCAGATATCCTATAACTATACAACATAGGCTGTGCATGTGTCACTAGCTGCAAGACTCTGTACAGGTGAGGAGCTTCATAATACCTGTTGGTGTGCATAAGGGGAGGGGAGGGGCGACTACTTAGCGTGCAAAGTAGAGGGGAGCAAAGTCATCCCGAGGATAACAGAATTTAAAATGTATCAAATTGATTTATTTATTTTTGAATTAGAAAACAATGCATCTCTGCCACTTTAAAGAGATTTCCCTCCACTTCCTGTCCTTTCTATATATATAATGAATGTGTGTCCCCTCCTGCCTCCCCTCTCTGGACCTTCACACCAAGTAAGTGCCCAAATATGCCACAGTTTATGTATGCAACAGATACATATACTGTGTGCAACATATACATATGCAGAGCAGGTTCCTGACATTGCTTCTCTAGTTCAATCTATGCTGCTGAAGCAGGATAGAGTTTTTAAAGAAAATTTCATTGTCAAGTTCTATGTATGGCTGCAGCAAAGCTTCCTGTGCTCTCAATACTAGGGATGCACCTATAGATAATATTACAAACAGGATCTGTGCTATGGAACAACAAACCCCTAAGCTGCCATGCTAAAAAACTGTATATAACACCTAAAAAACGTGAATTATAAACATGCCCTGCGCAATAGAGATCAACTACACATGCAATCTAATAATAATCTACATGTGAAATAAATATAGAAATATATAAATACGCAGAATCAGCCTATGGTGAATAAATACATATTAGGTATTTTTCCACTATATATTGTATTTATTCACCATAGGGTGATTCTGCATACTTCTATATTTATTTCACATGTAGATTATTATTAGATTGCATGTGTAGTTGGTCTATAAAATGCATTGCACGTTTATAATTCACTAGGGATGCTACTGCACCGATACCGATACCTGCACAGCCCGTCTGAGACCCCGTACACAGCCATCCTGAGATCCCGTATAGTCCTCCTGAGACTCCGCACAGCTTCCCACCAGGATATTGAATATCCTGTCTCTCTCTACTGGCTGTCTCTCATTGCTCTTTCTCCTGTCTGTCTCTCACTCTATCCCCTGGCTGTCACTCCTGCCTTTCTCTCCTCTCGCTCTCTCCTCTTTCTCTCCTGTCTGTCTCTCTTTGCTCTCTCCCCTAGCTCTCTCTTCTGGCTGCCTCTCCTCTTCTTCTCTCTCTCCCGTCTGTCTCTTCTCGCTCTCTCTCCTGGCTGTCTTTCCTCAATCTTTCTCCTGGCTTTCTCTCTTTGCTCTCTCCCCTGGCTGTCTCTCCCTGCTCTCTCCCCTGGCTGTCTCTCCTCGCTCTCCTCCCTGGATGTCTCTTCTCCCTCAATCCTTGCTGTATCTTTTCGCTCTCTCCCCTGGCTGTCTCTCCTCACTCTCTCCTCTCTCTCTATTCTTGCTGTCTCTCTCCTGGCTTTCTCACCTCATTCTCTTCTCTCTCCCCTTGCTGTCTCTCCTCGTTCTCTCCCCTGGCGGTCTCTCCTCGTTCTCTCTTGTTTTTTCTAAAAAAAGTTGCAGTGTGGTGTTAGACTGTTCGGGATTCGCTTGAAGAAAAGGCAGCAACCCTTTGGGGAGGGGGGCCCAAGAAATTGTTTGCCCAGAGTCCAATCAGTATTAAAGATGGCCCTGGATATAAGTGAGGGAATATCTTCTAATGGGGCGCCAGTTTCAGCGACAACCATAAAAGGGGGGACTTTCCTCACTTTTGAAATATTTCCTCTCATGTTCTATTGTATGTACAGGCAGAGGATGTTGCTACACCCTGGCACCAAGGGCACATGCCCTAGGTCTTCTGCTGAGTGCCCAAGGTCTTCTGCTGAGGCCCCCATGTCTAATGCTGAGTGCCCCATGTCTAATGCTGAGTGCCCCATGTCTAATGCTGAGTGCCCCATGTCTAATGCTGAGTGCCCCATGTCTAATGCAGAGTGCCTCATGTCTTCTCCTGAGTGCTCCATGTCTAATGCTGAGTGCCCCATGTCTAATGCTGAGTGCCCCATGTGTAATGCTGAGTGTCTCGGGTCTAATGCTGAGTGTCTCGGGTCTTCTGAGTGCCACATGTCCAATGCTGATTGTCTCATGTCTTCTGCTGAGTGCCCCATGTCTAATGCTGAGTGCCCATGTCTATTGCTGAGTGCCCCATGTCTAATGCTGAATGCCCCAAGTCTAATGCTGAGTGCCCCATGTCTAATGCTGAGTGCCCCATGTCTAATGCTGAGTGTCTCGGGTCTAATGCTGAGTGTCTCGGGTCTTCTGAGTGCCCCATGTCTAATGCTGAGTGCCCCATGTCTAATGCTGAGTGCCCCATGTCTAATGCTGAGTGCCCCATGTCTAATGCTGAGTCCCACTATGTCTAATGCTGAGTGCCCCATGTCTAATGCTGAGTGCTCCATGTCTAATGCTGAGTGCCCCATGTCTAATGCTGAGTGCTCCATGTCTAATGCTGAGTGCCCCATGTCTAATGCTGAGTGTCTCGGGTCTTCTCCGGAGTACCCCAGGTGTCCTTTGCAATAATTGTTGCCATTAAATATGATCCTGTAGACGAACATATTTCTATTCCTTCCTCCATTAGTATCAGCATTTCTCCCTCCCAGTTATTTAGAACTATGTTATGTAGAGAGTAATCTAGAGAGAATCCGGCATTTATAATCTACTACTTTCTGCACAATGCATACTTCCATTTCACTAAACAAATGAATGTCCATTGATTAATGATGACATATATTATATGCACGTAATGCTTTTGGAACATCGTTTTTATTCAATTATTTATTTAGAAGATTTTTTTTATTAATATGAGTCTATCAAAGGGGCAATGAGAAACAACATCACCTACTAGTTATCATGGTATATAGACCAAACCCTCCAGAACATTTTAGTCTGGGTGCCTGGCTGTCACCGAGATGTTTTATGACTGTAGAAATGTTCCTGCCTACAGGACAGAAGGTGCAATGAAATCTCCCCTATGGGACACAGAAGGCAAAAAAAAAATTACAGGGGGTTGAACCCTTCTCCATTCTATGCAAAACTTAAAAAAAATAAATGTTTTGTTTTAGATAAACTTCACTTTTTTATACTAGAAACCCCTCAACATTTCCTTCTAGTTCTCCGGGTGTTTTTGGACCCCGGAAATGCCCCCTTTGTACCGTGTATGATGAATGAGGGGCTTTGCTTTTCAGACAATGATGCTGGCTGCCCCTCCCCGCCCCCCCAATAAGTAGACAGGAAATTTAATCCTCTGATATCTTACAAATGTGTTTTCTTGCAGGCTCAGGAACAAGAACGTGGAACCGAGTGAACAGCAGCACCTGCGATCAAAGACAAGAGCGACTGGCACTCTCAGACTGTTGGCATCTATAGAGTAAGTGCCTCCCACTACTTACACAGGATGGCATAATGATCTGTCCTCAATCATATGAAAAAAATGGCACATTTATATATTGACTTTATAATAATGTTTATTTGTATTAATCCCCTCATTGCCTTTTCACACTATTACATTGCAGTAATGCCCGTGTTACAAGATATGTTACATGTAATGGTGCGATGCGGCACCGATCATTCAAAATGGCACTCTAACACACTTTGCTGATGGACGTACATTGCCGTGTAGTGCAATGTGCAGGAACACAGTAACATGCATTGGATTGCGCTGCCAGAGATTGTGCTCCCAGCCTCATCCTGTACAGAGATGATCTCAGTGCCAGCAGGTGTTTGGTATCTACCTGCTTGTTATTTTCTTGTGCATTAGTGTAGCCACATTTTTTAATCCAAACAATCAATGCAGAATGACAACGGCTATAGAGGAGTACAACAAATCCCAGCAATAGTACATTATAGCTGGCGGTATTCTATTATTTCTTTACCTATTGATTAATCTATTGATCGGTTCATTAGGCAAGTACATTTATTTCTGTATTATGTCACTGTCTGAGTATGGTAATGGACTCTCTGTGTCCTCAGGTCCCATCCAGAATGAAGGCTCTGGTGACTTTGCTTTTGCTGGGGTGGTTGGGTCAGGTTCGGTGTTGCAGCCCTCAACCTGGATGTAAGTATAATACAAAGGATAAAAAGCAAATAATAATGACTATGGGCAGGGCAGCCATCAGAAATTTTGGGGCCCTTTACACGGCTTTAGGCTAACAGGGGCAACTAATCAAAAGCCGACTAATCGACGTTGACAACATTTTCCATCATCGATTTTACTTGACTTAGTCGATTAGTTGTTGCAGCCCCAATCACATCAGTCTCTGTACAGAGGAGCTTACACTCTAATGTCCCCCAACAGTCACATCCATCTCTGTACAGAGGAACTTATACTCTAATCTCCCCCCTCAGTCACATACTATTATTATACATTTATATAGCTCTGACATATACCGCAGCACTCTACAGAGGAGCTAACACTCTAATGCACAATGGCACCAGCTGTACAAATCCCAGCAATACATTTATAGAACAATACAGAACAGTATATGAATTTGCCTCTAGGCTTAGTGACCCGCTGGACTCTGGAATTAGTGACCCACTGGACGCAGGGATTCGTGACCCGCTGGACTCAGGGCTTAGTGACCCGCTGGACTCAGGGCTTAGTGACCCGCTGGACTCAGGGCTTAGTGACGCACTGGACTCAGGGCTTAGTGACCTGCTGGACTCAGGGCTTAGTGACCCACTGGACTCAGGGCTTAGTGACGCGCTGGATGCAGGACTTAGTCACTATACAAGGGAATTTTCCCACAGCTTAGTGAATGAGGTGACGCTCTATGGATTTCCACCATCCAATCAGGTGCAAGCAAAAATACTGTTTTCTTTGATTGGGTATTCTCTGCAAAGTGGATTTTCACCGCAATCACTAAGCTAAGTGCAAATTCCCTTGTAGTGAACAGCCAATGTAATATGAGGACCTACCTAATCTAACCAATCAATTTCTATCCAATCAGACAGGCTCTTGTATTACATAGTTTTTGTTAGAGCGAAAGGAGATTGTACAATGGGATTGTAACGTGTGTGGTGAGTATGGCAGGAACTCAGACAGAAGAAAAAATATTTTTTGAGGTTACATAGGGGAATGCGAGAACATCTGTCAGCATTTTATTGTAATCTGTTTCCCTGTGGTCCCTCACTTCCTGTCTGGTAAAAAGCTTCACAACAGGAAGTGAGGGGAAATCTCTCTAAGGGAGCCCCGGATAGCAGCGAAACATAACAGGGGTTCTGACCTTTTCCCATTCTATAAGTTCTGGGTATAGATGGACTTTTAGCGATTAATATTAGTTATTATATAACGAAATCACAGAATGACATCAGCAATTCATTACATTACAGAATGTTCCAGCAAATTAGTGACAACGTTGCAGCTTACAGTCTATTTCCTGATGAAGACGTCTTTAGAACAATGGAAGAACATTATATGTATAATCATGGAGTGTGTTTTGTGTTTCTTTCTTCAGCCATCAATATCGCCAGAAGCGGGGAAGCCACGCAGAGTTCTACTTTCATTTATACAAATATAAGTTGTGTTGCTAGCAAGGCCATTGATGGCGGGAAAGATCAGGACTGGTATCATAACTCCTGTACCCACACAAATTATGAATGGGAATCCTGGTGGAGACTGGACCTGCAGCAGAAATACAAAGTGAACATGGTTGTGGTCTATGGCAGGTCGGACTGCTGTAAGGAACGGATGAATGGTCTCGAGGTCCGCGTTGGAGATTCTCCGAACAATCACAACCCAGCGTGAGTACATCAGGGCCAGGACACTGTAAGGTCCGACGTCAATGGACTTTGTGCTTGTGTTGATGGCATCACATGGAGATGCTTCTGAGATTATTTGGAATTCATTGACTGGTGCACGTGACCTGCATTTGACCTTTTTTGAACTTGCAGTTGAACTCCTTCTGATCAGTATTTGACCTGTATTCTCATAGACCTGTCTCAGAGTTTAAAAAAATAATCTGAACAAAAGCCCATCAATATAGGCCCTAAATGTGATAGGCGCTCAGCGCCACCTTGAACCCAAAATAAGCAACAGCACTAGAAGACTGCCCCATTATTGATTGTTAGTGTCCAGTGTGGACCAGTTGCTAGCAACTAATTATGATAGTACACATACTGCCCTGGCTTTGGTTTGCTTGAACGCTTGCCAAACCCAGATTTCTAGCTCTGTTCAGAGAACATCTAAGTGACTAAATCCAGGTCAGTTTTCTTATCACTAGTGGTGAACAGGGGGTTTGGCTAACTCTGAAGGGGCGTGGTTTAATGGGTATGGTTTAATAGTGTGTTTAGTAAGTTTCACTGCAGTCACTCTGCTCAGTGGCGTCACAAGGGGGGTGCGGAGGGTGCGGAGGGTGCGGAGGGTGCGGCCCACACCCGTGTGACACCATTGGAGGGGTGACACCAAAATGACTCACAGTCATTTTGGTGTCACCCCCCTCTGAAAAGTCGGGCGCTCGGTCATGGACCGAACGCCCGACAGTATCAGGAGAGAGGAGGGGACCCGGGGGCATACCTTAGACTCTCCCCTCCTCTCTCTGCCGGCGTCCATGCGGGTGACACTCGGTTACCGCTCCGGGTGTCACCCGGCCTCGGGACGCCCCTGACTCTGCTCATCTCTATTGCCTAGTTATTATACATTTTTGTGTTTTATTAAGCCGCATAGCAGTGTATGTTTTCTATGGGCCCATTTTGTGAATCTCCCCAAGTGAACGGGTTCCATTTTCTGTATCATTGTGTTGGTCTTTGCTTGTCCTTGGCAGGTGCGGTACGATCACCGACTATAATATTACCACCACACCTTTCTGCTGTAATGGGATGGAGGGTCGGTACATCAGCGCGGTGATCCCGGGGCGCAGTGAATACCTGCACCTGTGCGAGGTGGAGGTCTACGGGGAGCCTGCGCCTGAGGAGTATGATATCTGCTAGTAAACCTGAGAAGTACATTGTAGTAGAAATACTTAAATAATAAAATATCATGTCTATAGGGAACATATCCTCAAGACCTCCCTGTACACCTTGTAGTTGTAGTTGTTAAATAATGGATCTAAAAAACAAAAACAAAACTATATTACTCAGAAAAACAAAAACTGGTGTGTTCATGTCTAAGGGGTCTATTTATAAACAATTCACAGAGCTATTCACCCTGCAAATCTCTGTGAACGTTCATTCTGTGCATCATTCCGTCATTATGTCGCCCTGAAGAAGTGACCCCTCGCGTGGCCCCCGAAATGTTGTCTTAATGACACTTGTGACATGTTTCGTCAAACCATTTTGCTGAGTGCTGGTGATCACCGTCTTCTATTATTCTGGAAAATACGGCAGCATCCGTGTAATCACTACGAGTACCACGACTGTTGATCGCGGTCCAAGCGCTGTAAGAGGTGCAGGTCACACATCACAATACTTATGACCCCTTACACAATGTCTAAGGGGTCTATTTATAAACAATTCACTAGGGATGCACAGATACTTTTGGGTCTCCAAGTACTGGTCCGCGGGCCAACTCCAGCCCACGAGCCGGTATTATGTTGCCCGCAGCCAGCTGACATGTCAGGCACGCGATCGCAGACCGCGTACCTGACTTGCGGGAGCAGCTAAACGGTCTGCATCTGTGGCGGTTGGTTCCTTCGGTCGGATCTCTGACAGTTCTGAGCTCTGGCCGAAAGAAAAGGATGTATTAGTGAGGTCTGCGGACCTCACTAATCACCCCTAGATCACCAGGGATCGATCCTCCTCACAGCCTCCCCCCTGCAAAGCCGTGAACAGGTGAGGGGGCTGATTATTATTTTGTGTGTAGGGGGTGTGGTTAATAAGGGGGGAGTGTACACTGTACGTTCCGCCACAAAGTGCCTATATGACTGGCCATGTACACTGTATGTGACCAGTTATTTGGTAGCGGCTGATTCTAAGCGGTTACCAGTCATTAATGGATGGGTCAGTATTGAGGAATTAATTAATGAAACAGTTTGTAAAAGCTTATTTCTTTCATGAATGAAAGAATGAAGCCGTTACATACAAATACCTGATCGCTAAATAGTGATCCGGTATTTGACAGCTGAAGATAGCAGAGAGGGAGCAGAGTGAATCACCTCTCTGCTATTCGTTTTGACAGCTCGATAGACTTGCCTGATGTTTATGAAGCTTTGTGATACATTTCAGGCACAGGGATGTTACAATGTATCTCTGTGCCTGAAATGTATCACTTCTGATCGTCTGAGCACAATCAGAAACCTTTAGTGAGATTCTGGGAGGGACAAACACCGGAGCCATCGTCTGATCACTCCGGTGTTTGTAAATAACTGGGGACACATAGCGCTATGTGTCCCCAGTTATGAATGAACAGTCTGTGATTTGCATCTCCTCCTGTTCATTCAAGATTTCCTCAATGGGGAGGAGCAGTCACTATAGGCTCCTCCCCATTCAGAACCTGCTGATAGTAAATATTGTACTATCAGTGTCTGAATGGGGAGGAGCCTCTGTACTGAGTGCTCTCCATTCATTGAGTGCTGAGGCTGCAGTAAAAGAGGATTTGGTGTCCTCAATTTCTTTTCTATTTTTAAAGGGAAATGTCAGGGGTCTGTTTGGACCCCTAATATTTCCCTGAAGCCCCCACCAGCGGTAGAAAATAAATAATAAAAAAAATAAAAATGAAAAAGTATAAAAAAAAAAAATGTTAAAAATTATTTAAAAAAAGAGAAAACTGCCCCCCTCCTCGCCCCACACACACACATATTATTAGACATGTGCAAAGACTAAAAATTTATTTCAGATGAAATGAACGGAAACTAAAAACGTTTTCATTCGTTTCTTCAAACAAAACAAATTTTTATTTTATTTTGGCGTGTTCTGGAGGCGGGGCGCATGACGTCATATAACACCGCATGTGTTGGGCGCCGCCATCTTGGTGTATATCTAGGAATATACCAAGATGGTGGGGCCAATATCGGCGTGTGACTTCACCTGACGCCACGCACGCCTTATTTGATAAGAATACTTATATTGTGACTACAAGTTTAATACCTTTGAATAAAAGTTTTATTTTTATCATACTTTTTAATATGTTTCTTTGCGGCTTAACAACATTGAAGTTTTTAAATAGTGCGGATATTGAGGGAAATGGGTGTGGTTACTGGGGTGTGGCCACTAAAGGGTGTGGTCACTGAGGGGTGTGGTCACTGAGGGGCGCTGTTTTCTCGCACAGGGCGCCTAAAGGCCTAATGCCGGCCCTGGGGTCACCTACCACACTATAGCACCATTTGCAAAGAGCAGAGAACTGTCAACTCTCCTAAAACTATTTCATACAGACATATGTCTGCTGGGAACCCGTCCTTTTATAGTGAGGGACTGGCACATACAAAGCCCATATTATTGGCCCTTCTAAGCAGGGGCGTAACTAGAAATCACAGGGCCCCATAGCAAAATTTTGTATGGGGCCCCGTGATTTCTAGTTATACCCCTTGCAGAGCCCACCTGAAGGGGAACTTGCAGAGCCCACCATAGACTCTCTATGGTGGGCTATGCAGGGTCACCCTCAGGTGGGCTGGTCGCACACCTTACCTGTCCGCCTCCTCTTCCTCCAGGTCGCTGATGGACCCCGCCACCTCCTCGGTCGCCGGGCCCGCCTCCTCCTCGGTCGCCGGGCCCGCCTCCTTCTTCGTCACCGGGCCCAGCTTCCTCCCCTGTTGCCGACCACGGGCCCCGCCTCCTCCTCCACTGCCTCTGCTGGCTCTCATTGACTCTGTGGAGAGGAACGCGCTGCTGCACAGATTACTGTCAGTGATCTGAACAGCGGCGTGTTCGTCTTCAGCCGCCAGTGAAAGCCACCAGCAGAGGATCCCATAGCGACCCAGGCGGCTTGCACGACATCTGGCCGGGCCCCACTGTGCCCCGGGCCCCATAGCGGCCGCCTGGATCGCTATGGTGATTGTTACGCCACTGCTTCTAAGCCACCTAAACCAAGTACAAATGTCACATGAGACATTATGATTACAAAGAATTCAGGATTTCAAATGTTTGCATCAAAATTCCAGAACTGCGCACCTCAATCACTCAGGGCTCACCTCGGTCTCATAGAACCCAAAGCTCATCCCTAATTGTAATATTTTAGCATTCATTTGTGCTGTATTGGTTTAATGTTCAATAACCAGTCACGACTCATTCATGTTTTGTTGCTACCATTGAATGTCACAGTTTCTATTTATTAGAAAGTCCTTTTTTTTAAATATATTATAGTTTTATAGGCAGCACAGTGGCTTAGTGATCGGCACTTCTACTTTACAGCACTGGGGTCCTCAGTCAGGACACTATCTACATGGAGTCTGCATGCTCACACTCTGCTAACGTGGGTTTCCTCCCACACTCCAAAGACATGCTGGAAGGTTAATTGGCTCCTGTCTATAAAAAGAGTTCTCGTATATGTTTCTGTGAGATTGTAATCACCTTGATGGCAGAGACTGATGTGAATGTACAATATATAGAGCACTACATGAATTGTTGGCGCTATATAAATGTCTGTAATACTAATAATCATATAGATGTGTGAATATCTAATTTTTTTGGTAACTTATTCAGTTACTCTTTCTTATGCCATTGTTTGAATGTTCAGCCACCAGAACTGTATAACTTTTGGCCTTGTGACTCCTTTTGTGTTCTCAAGAAAAGCCAGTTAACTGGTATTAACCCGTAACAACCAGTGCAATAAAATTGAGGACTTCAGTGGCCAGACTGCGCTGTTGGGTGGTGTTGATTCTGACCAGCAGAACTTCATATTTGTAGTTATACATTATCCTAAGGAACATATTGGCGGAACAATGGCATAAACCCCTGAAATGATTAACTCATACCTCCCAACAGTCCTGGATTCTACTGGGCTGTCCTAGGATTTTAACAAAATGTCCCGCTGCTGGCTGGGTGCTGGAGCGCTGATTCCTGCACTTGACTTTGGCTCCTTTGCTGCTCTGTCAGACAGAGTAATCTCCAGCCCGATATGAGCATTATAGTTCCAGCAGAGGGAGACAGTGGCCTGGGATGGAGAATGTGGACAGTTAAGTCAGTGCTGGAGTGTTGGACCGGTAACATTCTGATTGGAATTAGATAAGTCTGCCTGGATGCCGGTAATTGGTTGGAATTGTTTCTATCTGTGACCTAGCTAGATTTATGTCAGATCTTTCCTCACTCATCTATACGTAGGATTATGGGTAGATACTGTAGCTGTCTGAATAAATACATTGTTATTGTTACCTAGCCATTAACCTGAAACCCTATGCGTGCTCTGAGCACGGAAATGACTGCAGATAATAAAATACTAATAAAATACGCAAAAAATACAATTTCCATAAAGACAGCAGCAAAATATGTCCTAAGCTATGTTATGTAACCTGTAGTCGTGCTATTAAAGCTGTTTACCTTAGTAACAGCCATCATTGATTATTTCTGCTTTGCATTAATTTGCACGACCAATATGATCCCCTTCAATAATGTTACACATCACCAGTGCAAATAGCAGTACATAGGTTATGTAATAAGAAACATTAAACAACAGGATACTGACCACATACCAGGCCCCTGACAATGCCTTAAAACTCCTAATTTAGAAATGTACCAAGTATGACCAAATACACTGGACCTGCCACTGGTCATCTGGTATTCTCCTGGTCTGAGTACACCCGTAACATATCAATGGCCATGAAGGACCTCACCCTCATAGCTTTTTACCAAAACCACACTTCACCATCTCCTAGCACAAGAATGAAAAAGGACAATATACCAATATATAGCAGCTAGCGCTCCCTACACAGACAGTCAACTCTTTATAAACTACTGTACATACTTACAAACCTTCAATTTTGTAGCCAACACCATAGCACATACCAAAGTCCCCATTACTGGCCCTTCTAAGTCAGCTGACCTAAGGAAAGGCAGTTCATGATGGTTACAAAATATTGGTCCTTTATATTGTTGGCTACTGGAGACAGGTGTTGATTTTACTCTGGTGGTTATGGACCCTGTTCACTGGTTGCTAGGTCTCCCTTTCTCACACATGCTCAGACACTCTACCATACCAGCCAACCATGTGTTAAGAGTCGAGTGCCGTCTGTGCATGCGCCAACGGCACGTAGCCTCACGAACCAGAACGCGGACGGCACGATTCAGCAAGGCGGGAAAGCGCCAAGGAGGCGCACAGGAAGTGACCTAAACCTCAATTATCACTTCCCCTATATAAGCCCAGCCTGAACACTGCCAAATTACTGGAATATCTTCAGTCTCTCCTTGTTCCTGTGCTGTGTGATATCTGTTTGGACTTGTTGTGACCCGGAACCCTTGTGACTACTCTTGCCTGCTTCCTGCCCTTGACTTAGGATTCGTATATTGACCATTCTTCTGCCTTGCTCTATTGTACTTTGCTGCCTGATTGGATCTGACACCGGCTTGGAACTTGACCATTCTTCTGCTTTGCCCATTTGTACTTCTTTGCCAGATTGTACTGGACCCCGGCTCAGACTTCGGATTTAGGTTTGCACGGTGCTCCACACCACCGGCACTCGTGCCACTCGGTGTCCGCCAAGTCTCTGTATCCATCCCCAGAGGCCTCAAGACCCGAGGTGCAAGGGAGGACTCCTCACTACTACAGTCTCACCCCAGGTAACGTGACACATGTCCTGACTGCCGCTAGATGTCCCATCTCCCTGAAATGGAAACAATAATGATAATAATAATAATAATAATAATAATACAAATAATGGAACCCTTACCACCCTTCAGCGTTGATCTCTATAGACTCATCCATAACATTTTCAATATGGAATACCTAATGACACGCATACGTAACACTTTACCTACTTCTGAGAAAATGTGGTCCTCCTGGCAGCTTATGGATTCCTCTATGCAATGTATTTCCTCTATCATCCCTCTGTATCTTTGCAGGATCTGGGATGGGATCTGGCTGGATGGAGGGAAGGCTGGGATCTCTCCTTTTCCTTCTCTTCCTTTCTATCCTACATTTGTTTCCTTTTGCTCTGTAACTTACTCTTCTTTACAATGTTATTTGCCTTTCATATATTTTCTCATGTTTGAGATGTTGTATCTTTATCTTCTGATGTTGTGTAAGACTACGATATAAATGTTTGGAACAATGTGGATTTGCACTATGGTACGCTTTGTATCCTATTTCTAGAATTCAAAACTTTTGCTTTGCTGACTTCTATGTTATACTTCTTGTAAACTGATTAATAAAAAGAAAGTAAAGAAATACTTTGCTGGACAATGTGTGTTTGTCTGATCTGGATTTATTATTACAACAAAGATTGAGAATGTGATAATAATTATTATTATTATATAGGATTTATATAGCGCCAACAGTTTATGCAGCGCTTTACAATATAGGAAGACATTACAATACAATTCAAAACAAGATGGTAAAAGGAGGGCCCTGCCCCTGAGGGCTTACAATCTAAAAGGAAGGGAGAAGTGATACATGAGGAGGTAGCTGTGTGGGGATGAATTGTTTGAGAACGTGATGGTTCAGTGGTTAGGTTGAGGTGGGATAGGCTTCCCAGAAGAGATGAGTCTTTAGGGAACGCTTAAAAGCAGTTAAGGTGGGAGAATGATGGACAGGTTGGGGTAAAGAGTTCCAGAGGATGGGAGAGACTCTAGAGAAGTCCTAGAGGCGAGTATGGGAGGAGTCGACAAGGGAGCTGGAAAGCAGGAGGTCTTGGGAAGAGCGGAGCGGACGGTTAGGGTGATACTTTGAGACGAGGTCTGAGATATAGCCGGGGCCAGAGTTGTGGATGGTTTTATAAGTGACTGTTAATATTTAGAATTTTATCCTCTGGGCGAGTGGAAGCCAGTTCAGGGATTGACAGATGGGGGTTGCAGACACCGAGCGGTTGGTTAGGTGGATGAGTCTAGCAGCTGCATTCATGATAGACTGAAGGGGGGATAGCCTGTGTAGAGGTCAGCCAATGGGGAGTGAGTTGCATTAGTCAAGACGAGATATAACAAGGGAGTGGATGAGTAATTTTGCGGTTTAATTGGTTTGGAAGGGGCGTATTTTGGAGATGTTACGAAGGTGAAGGCGGCAGGATTTGGATAGCGATTGGATGTGGGGAAGAGAGGTGAGGTCCGAGTTAAGGATGACACCTAGGACCTTGGCATGGGGGGAGGGGTGGATAGTTGTGTTACCAATCTCAACCGAAATGTTGGGGGAGGGTGCACGGGCGGGAGGAAATATCATGAGCTCAGTTTTTGAAAGATTGAGTTTTAATGTCAGCTTGGATCTTGGCTCGCTCATCTATAGGTAGGATTAGGGTTAGATACTGTAACTGTTTACATAAATACATTGTTTGTGTTATATAACCATCAGCCTGAGATAGTGATCCTTGCTCAGAACATACAAATATCTATCCCTAGCATTAAATAATGCAAAAATAAAATTTTTCATAAAGACAATAGTCGGTGCAGCAAAATCTATCCCATGGAAAGCTAACAATAAAACAAGAAATGTTATCAAACCAATCTTATGTAACATGGTGTCTATGTACCCGGCCCATGCTCAGCTTATAAACAAGTCCTGTGACGCTGACCTCTGGGGGTTGTCTATCACCAAACTGGCAATTCGGATGTTGTGTGAACAGCGCCGACTGGTCAAACACATGTGTGTCAGCTGTCTTTAATAGGGCAGTTACCCCGGGCCCAGTCATTGTAGTGGGGTCCAAAACAGCTGCCCCTTGAGCTTGCAAAAGATATACTAGAGTTGCCACCTGTCTGAGATTCATCTGGACAGTCCGGGTTTTGAATGCTGTGTTTGGATTTCATGGCTGAAACCCGGACACAAGATGTGAAGCAGACAGGTGCAACCTCCGGGCCCTGGTGTTCCTGGTTGTAAACAGCCACGCTCCCTACACAGGATGGGTCCCCCAAACATGTTCTCATGGATTAAATTTTGACAGTTTTCCAATCAAAAACTTCATCAACTGCGCATCACAATATGTGATTTATGGTATCCTTTGCCCATGTGGGAAATTATACATTGGGCGCACCATTAGAACACTCAGGGTAAGATTCGGAGAACATAAGAGGAATATTCTCAAAAAAGTAGACGACCATTCCATACCCAGGCATTTCTTAGAAGTACATAAGTCCAACCCCACTGGTTTGAAAGTATTTGGGATTGAAGTGATCCCAGAAAACCTTGATGAAGGGATAAGGTTCAAGAGACTTTGTCATAGAGAATCCTTTTGGATCTATTCTCTGAATAGTCTATATCCCAATGGTTTGAATGAAGGTCTAGAACTAGCAACATCACTCTGATTAATTTAGATTGGCTCTATGTCCCTCTTTTCTGCCAACTGCCCTAACAGTACTGCTAGGTCAAACCTTTCCTACACAATAAGCATGCATTATAGTATAAACCTCTGGGGTATATCCAATATGCAATTTCTCACACTATGACCAGTATCTATTGGGTATTCATATAGCGCAATAGCATTTGCACATTCATGGATCAGTACAACCAGTTCAAGTCTTCCACACACATCCGTTATGGATATGTGTTCGTGTATACTGAGATATCTATATACCTTCCTGTCCACTACTAATGGGGCGACTGCAAACTGATCCTACTCTATATGGATACCAGTTGGTGCCAGAAAATTAGTCAGCCAGCCCCTGCAGTCCACCCCCAATAGTTGGATCAGCCCATCTACCCTCCTCCACACACAGGCTCGCTGCCATCCCTGTGTTCCCCACTCCATAGAGTGTAGACCAACACTAACACAAAATTCAATTGATAAATTAACCACTGCGAGATGCTCTTAGTTGTATCATGGCAGATTGTAATTCTTTCATACATAGGGTTGTCCCCTCATCTACAGCGTATATTAATTACCTTTAGAAGCACTTTTTAACTAATTTTTCATTGAGAAGATTTCTGTAACTCTTAATACATATTTTAATACATATTTTAATATACGTAAATTATTTATACTGTACATGTATGTCTTGTCATGCAATTTAAATGCATGGTCATGCATTGCACTAGAAATCACTGTGATATGGGTCTCGAGTGGACCCGCGTGTTGTGTGCGCATAAGTGTACATATATATATGGGTGTACTCAGAATGCTGGCTCAGCTATCCACATATATATAGCAATAGCTAGCACCTGACCCCCACTTTAAGTAGCCGATAATGATTGACCCTTCATGATTGTATATTTTATCACTGATTTGTCAGCTTCTTAAACAATCACTTGTAATCATGTGTTTTTCCAATTCATCGTAGTTGTTTAATTCAATGTAGCATAATTATGATTAATTAAGATCGTCACTCCATGACCTCAACCCCTCGACCGAAAGAATAACTATGCGTGATGGCTAGAGTTGTACCCTTTATCGGACTCGTATATTTAGAGGCTGTCCTTTTTCCCCCTCTCTTATCTCAAACAAACCCCCCCCCCTTACCCTCCCCTTGTGACTCATATATGCCCGTCATATTGGACATAGATATACAACCATTGGATGTCAGTTCCTAAGAGTCATAGAGACCTGCACTAACATGTGAGGTCTTGGACTGGCCGGACGGCTACACGCCCATTTAATTGCACTCGCCATTCAGCTTGATCTATCATGATCCAGCTGAACTAAATCTAATTTGCATATTCTTGTGATTGGTCCATCCCCCTATATTAAGGGGATAATGAGATAGTTGAGGTCATGTTCTGAGGAAGGGGGCGTGACCCCGGAAACGCGTCAACGACGCCACATTCCAATGCACACAGACAGATTGCAGTCTTATAGCTGCTGTTTCTGTGAAATCATCCTTACGAGCTGTTTTTTTTACCTACCATTGTGAGTACCATTGCAATTTTACTTTTATGTCTTAAAAATAAAAATAATCTGCAATAGGTCGGCGCCCTTCTTTTTGTATGAAATTTTGACAGTTTATACTTTGGGCCATTTATCAAGTTCATACCATGTTTTTTAGTGGTCGTCTCTCCTCTCTCTCCTGCCTGTCTCTCTTCACTCTCTCTCCTGGCTGTCTCTCCTTGCTCTCTCTCCATGTTGTCTCTCCGCTCTCTCTCTCCTGGCTGTCTCTCCTCGCTCTCTCTCCTGGTTGTCTCTCCTCTCTCTCCTGGTTGTGTCTCCTCGCTCTCTCCTGTATATTCTCCCAAACAAATTGCCACACAGTGCTAGAGTGTTCGGATTTTACTTTAATTACTACCTGTGAGAGACTTACCTTTGGATGCTCTGTGAGTATATGCATGCCTGAAGAGCTGTGAATACCCACTGTGCTTGTGCCTAGCATGGGAAATAGCCTGTTTTCCCAGGTGAAGATTACGTTTTGGAGAAAGCTGGAGAACAGGCTATGAGTTTACTCACAGTTATGGATGTTGATTCAATGAAAGCCGGCAAAGACTTTGCATATAGTGGCTACAAGCTTGTTGCATGGCTCACACATGTGGACATTGCCTTTATACACACAGTACTTTAGGTTTGCCCATATAATGGATGAACTATGTATTGGCTGCATATATGTTCTTAAAGAAGTTATGTGCTGCAACCTAAAGAAAAACAAGACACACCTGTAACAGCAACACCATCTTATTGCACCTAAAGGAAATATCTGACGTGTATATAAGAAACGATTATGTTACCGCCAAACAAAGAAAGAAAATTAGGCTTCATACAATATTGGCATTCCCTAAGTGTCTTCTACACTATATTGCCAAAAGTATTGGGGCGCCTTTACACGCACATGAACTTTAATGGCATCCCAGTCTTAGTCCGTAGGGTTCAGTATTGGGTTGGCTCCGCCCTTTGCTGCTATAACAGCTTCAACTCTTCTGGGAAGGCGTCCACAAGGTGTAGGAGTGTGTCTATGGGAATGTTGGACCATTTGTCAGGTACTGATGTTGGGGGAGAAGGCCGGGCTCGCAGTCTCCGCTCTAATTCATCCCAAAGGTGTTCTATGGGGTTGAGGTCAGGACTCTGTGTGGTCAGTCAAGTTCCTCCCCCCCAAACTCCCCCACCCATGTCTTTATGGACCTTGCTTTGTGTACTGGTGCGCAGTCATATTGGAACAGGAAGGGGCCATCCCCAAACTGTTTCCACAAAGTTGGGAGCATGAAATTGTACAAAATGTCTTGGTGTGCTGATACCTTAAGAGTTCCCTTCACTGGAACTAAGGGGCCAAGCCTAACCCCTGAAAAACAACGCCCCCCCATAATCACCCCTCCACCAAACTTTACACTTGGCACAATGCAGTCAGGCAAGTACCGTTCTCCTGGCAACCGCCAAACCCAGACACGGCATCCCACGCTTTGCATTGCACTTGGTGATGTGCGGCTTGGATGCAGCTGCTCGGCCATGGAAACCCATTCCATGAAGCTCTCTACGCACTGTTGTTGTACCAATCTGAAGGCCACATGGAGTTTGGAGGTCTGTAGCTATTGACTCTGCAGACAGTTGGCGACTTCTGCGCACTGTGCGCTTCAGCATGCGCTGACCCCGCTCTGTCATTTTACGTGGCCTACCACTCCGTGGCTGTGTTGCTGTTGTTCCCAGTTGCTTCCACTTTGTTATAATCCCAGTAACAGTTGACGGAATATTTAGTAGCCAGGAAATGTCACGGAACATCTGACTCCAATCATTTGAAGGGGTGTCCCAATATTTTTGGCAACATAGTGTATTTTTGCATGGAGTATTACATTGAAACTGCAGGTATACCTGAAATCCTTAATATGAACATGATGATCAGCTCTATACCTGATCATCTTGTTCATATTAAGGATTTCAGCAATACAGCAATACATGGATACATTTCTACAAAAAAAGTTTTCATCTGATCATTGCCAATGACTATATGACATTCGGATTATGACTAAACTCTAACTGAACAAATTTCTCAAATCATGGCCAAATTAAGATCTAAAGATATTTGAGTGCAGAAAAAGTTTCTTAGGAGTGCGGGAAAATGTTTCAAATATTTATTTATTTATAGAACAACGGGATAGACACGTGCAATAGTTACATAGTCAGGTTGAAAAAAGACACATGTTCATCTAGTTCAACCTGTAAGAGGTTCTATCTTTTATTAAGCATGTCTTATGAGGGCAAATATCAGGATCAGACATTTTTGTTTTTTTGTATGGGGGATATAGATTCCTGTTTTATTTATATATCAGTCATGGTGAACAATAAATAGAAATGCATTTTAAGAATTTTGTGTATAAGGAAAGTTTTCTGCCCCGGGATCTCCACTAGGAGGGTATTTGTAGCTTTTGTTTTTAGATATTTGAAGGAGATATTTGAGGTTTTATCTCCCACTAACTGCCCTCCGTTCTATAAACAGTTGAAGCTGTAACAGTTACCTTATTCCTGGCCCCGGCAGAATTTTGGCGTTCCTCTCTCCGACGCCCTGGCCCTCGCCATTCCTCATGTAAAATGCAGGACCGCGCCATTGTATGTGACAACGTCAAAATGCGATTGCCAAATGGAGCACTGAAAAGAAAAATCTTTGAGGAACCTTATTCCTCTACCCCTAAACTTGGCAAGCATTTAACCCTTGGGGCGGGTGTTGGGGGGATGGGGCTTTTTTTTTGCCGGAGTTCAGCTTTAAGCGATATTAGACGCTTCGGGTGCATTTTGTTTTGTGTTTATTTATTTATATTATTATGGCAAATTTTCTGCAATAGGACAGTACGGCTCTCTATTTCCTGAAAAACACTTCTTACAGAATAACTTCTCTCTCTCCCCCCCCCCCC